TATATGGATGTATGTATGTGTAGGCGTAATGTATATTTAATATTTATAGCGGATTTTATCTAACGATGGGAACTTTTTGGATAGTTTCCAAAAATCCATCGTAATTTTTTATTATAAAAAATATTTAATATTTTCTCTACATTGAAAATTTTCTCTACATTGAAATTCTAATGTAATAAGTTATATTTTGATAAAGTGTATTTTAATATTCTCTTCATAATTAATCTTGCTTTCCCGAAATATATTTTTCAGCGTCTTTCCATTTATCTAGATAGATATCGTATATTTTTCCTTGCAAGACTGAGAAGATATGAACGAATGCATTTTTAATGTCCATATACGAAGAGTTCGATAATGTATTGATATATTTCGTGCATTGCGTATTATCGAAAACTAATATTTTCTTAACATTCTTAAGAAAAATACATTATTAATTTTTAGAAAATACAAATAAATTCATTACGCTTTTATATAAAATTCTATATATAAACTAATAATAATAATAAAGAAATTTTATATTTGTCAGATAATTTTGTACTTAATTTTGTACTTAATTCAACATAGCTTTAATTTGTAAAATACCATGATGTTTAAATATATAATATTTATGAAGATTAATCTTTTAGAGATTACGAAGAGAGACAAAAATGAGGAATTTAATTCAATTTAAGAGAAAGACTTGTGTTATAAAGTTATTATCGAACATTTTGAGTATACAAATTGTTAATTATTTGAAAATATTCTCAAATATTAAATAAATTTCTCAAATATTTACATCAGTAATGTAAATTCGAACTTTATCTCTAAAGTATAAATTCATCGAAATTATTGATAGCGTCATCAAATATATTGGCCTGTAGACTTCACCTCGTAAAATAGCATCGTATAAGCGCATCTTTATTTCCGCACACTTTCTTCTTCTTTTGTATCGTGTGAGAAACACGCTCGGTATGCGGCTCGTAATGGAAGTGGAAAAAAAGAATATCTAAGGTGTAGCACCCACGCATAACGTGAAATATAGCGCAATAACTCACTGCTTGCGTAAAGTGCTCCAAAACGTCCTTTTAACAATATCGTTTACGTTAACGTTGCAGTAACACGGGTTTTACGCGTACTCGCGTCGATTTTTATTTGAGATCCCGGCTGCCATGTCCAGCGCCGGGATAACTTATCACATAAAAAGAACGCAACTGCACTGCAATTGCACTATCGTGAGCTAACGTGGGGTATATCTCTCTCTCTCTCCTCCCTTTTCCTCTCTCGTCTTTTACTCTCGACTTTCCACACGGTGCATCGTCCAAATTACAAAGACCACTCTACACTCGACAATGGATTGTTATCTAAACGTCAAACTCACTCCGGTCGTACCGGAGTGAAGGAATTTCGATTTTCCAACGTGAAATCACCGCTTAACGGATGGCGTAATTGTAAAATAAATTAATTTCACACTGTCTAACGAAAAAAAAAAAAAAAAAGAAATTAATAATTCCATCGAGGAATATTACCTCGCGAAGAAAGTGTAGCATTATACTGGCAAGAGTGTGACACGGCGCGCCATACGCGCGCGTATATCCCTTTTTTTTCCGCTTTTTCCGCGCACTCTTTCTCTCCTCGAGAATGGATTCGTTCGCGGATTTTGCACGTTTTCCGACGGTACGCTTCCGCACCCGCACGTTCGAGGACTCGCGCGGCGAAACTACACCTCCGTCGACGGACGCATCCCCGGGCGTTGGGACGCGTGTACTGACTGCGTCGAGCTGGTCGCGCCGTCGAGCGAGTCGAAAGAGCGGCGTCGGGACGCTCGTCGTGACGGGACGCGCTCGACTCGTATGGCGCAGGCCCGCAGGACTATACGGTATCGCTTTTCTTCTTTCCCACCGATTTCTCTCTCTCTCTC